AGTTTACATGAAAGACACTTGTATCCCTAGAGGTAACTACACAGATAAATATAAAATAAGATATAAATGTAATTTTTTTGAGACAAAGTCTTTTTTTTTTTTTTATTGTCTGGGCTTGAATGCCATGACATCGGCCTATCTCACAAAACCTCAAATTCCTGAGCTTAAGTGATGCCTCTGCCTCAGCCTCCCAAGTAGCTGGGAGATGCCTGCCACAACACCAGCTGATTTTTCTATTTTTGGTAGAGACAGGGTTCCTCTCTTGCTCAGGTGGTCTCCACCTCCTGCCTCGGGTCCCCAGAACACTAGGATTATGGGGATGAGCCACCACTGCTGGCCTAAATGTAATTTTTGTAACTCTTTTCTTCTTCTATCTGATTTCAAGGACAATTGCATAAAACAATAAATGTAAATCTATGTTGATGATCCTCCAGTATATAAAGATGTAATTTGTGTGATAATAATATCACATAGGAGGAAAGAAGGAATGGAGTGATACTGGAGCAATGTTCTGCATGCTACCAAAATTAAGTTAGTATTCATCCAAACTAGAGCATTTTAAGTTAAGATGGCAATTGTAATCTCCAAGGCAACCACCAAGAAAATAACTTTTTCAAAAAGAGTAAAAGAAACAACATGGAATTTAAATGGTACCCTAGAAAATATCTACTTAACACAAGGGAAATCAGAGGACCAAAAAAGACATAAGATACATATATATAAAACAAATACAAAATGGCAGGCCTGTATCCTATCTTATCAGTAATTACATAAAATGTAAATAATTGAATGCTCAAATCCAAAAGTCAGAATCCAGATGGATTAAAAAAACAAAAACAAAAAATCATGATCTGATTATATGTTACAAGAGAGAACTTCAAAGATATAAAATGGCTAAAAGTAAAAAGATGGAAAAAGATAGATATACTGCAAACAGTACCCCATATAGAGCTGGAGAAGTTATACTAATAAAAGACAAAATAGACTTTAAGAAAAAATTGCTACTAGACAGGAGAGACATTTTATAATGACAAAAGCATTAACTCAGCAGGAACAGATAATAATGTTAGCTAACAACTGAGCCCAAAATACACTAAAATGAAATTTACAGAATTGAAGATAGAAACAGAAAATCCAACAATATAGCTGTACACTTTAATACTCCATTCTCCAAAATAGATAGAAGAATTAGAAGGAAAATTAGAAAAAATATACAAAACTTAAGCATTCTGAACCAACCTGGTGCAAAACCCTTCGACACCAGAGTACACATTCTTTTCAACCACACGTGAAATATTCTCTAGGATAAATCGTATGTTAATCCATGAAGTAAGTATTGATAAATTTAGAAGGATAAAAATCTTATAAATAAAGTTAAATTATAAATCAAAACCAGAAAGAAACCATAGTAAACAAAGACAGTGAGGTTTTGGCAAAAGAATAAACAAATAAATCAAAAGGACAGACTAGAGAGCCTAGAAATAGATCCAGAGCAATATAGGCAATTGAATTTTGAGAAAGCGACAAAGGAAATTCAATGCTAAAAAGAGAGTCTTTTCAACAACTGGTGCTAGAAAAAGTGGACATGCAAATGAATGAATCTAGACGCGGACCATACACTTCCACTAAAATTAATCCAAAATGGATCATAGACCTAAATTTAAAATAAGAAACTACAAAACTCTAGAAGAAAATATGGGTGAAAATCTAAATGAGCTTCAGTTTGGTGATGATTTCTTAAATCCATCAAAAGCAAATCCTTGAAAAAAAATGGATAAATTGGACTTCACTACAATTAAAAACTTGTCTGCAAAAAAGATCACTGATAAGAGAATGAAAACACAAGCCACAGACTGAGAGAAAATATTTGCAAAACACATACCTGATAAAGGTATGTGTTTTTTTATGAAAGAGAGTCTCACTCTGTTGCCCTGGGTAGAGTGGTGTGGTGCCATAGCTCATATCAACCTTAAACTCTTGGGCTCAAGCCATCTCCTTGTCTCAGCCTCCCCTAGTAGCTGGTACTACCGGCGCCAGCCACAACACCCAGATCTTTTTTCTATTTTTAGTAGACATGGGGGTCTCACTCTTGCTCAGTCTGTTCTCAAACTCCTGAGCTCAGACAATCCACCTGGCTCAGCTTCTCAGAGTGCTGGGATCATAGGTGTGAACCACATACCCAGCCTGTATCTGAAATATATGACTTAAAACTGAGCAATAGGGAAAGCAAACAACATAACTAAAAAGTGGGTAAAAGAACTGAATAGAGTCTTCATCAGAGAAGAAATAGACACATAAGCATCTGAAAAGCATTTCAAAATCAATATATCATTAGGTAATTGCCAGTTTAAACAATAGTGACATACCACAACACCCCTATTAAAATGGCTACACTCCAAAACACTGTGCCAAATACTCAGAAGGATGCCTAGAGATGAGAATTCTCATTCATTACTGGTGGGAATGCAAAAATGATGCAGTCAAGCTGGAAGACAGTTTGGCAGTTTCTTACAAAAATAAACAGGCTTTCTGTATGACCCAGCAATTATGCTCCTTAGTATTTACCCACATGAGTTGAATAGTTCACAGAAAAACCTGTACAGGAAGGTTTATAGCAACTTTGTTCATAATTTGCTACAACTTGGACACAATGAAGATATCATTCAATAGATGAATGGATAAACAGACTGTGGTAGATTCATGCAATGGAATGTTGTATGAAAAAAATGAGCCACCAAGCCACAATAGGACATGGAGAAACCTTAATTGCATATTGCTAAGTGGAAAAGGCCAGTCTAAAAAGACTACAGGCCAGTCAGGATGGTTCACACCTGTAAGCCTAGCACTTTGGGAGGCCAAGGAAGAAGGATCAACTGAGGCCAGGAGGCCAAGACTGACCTGGGCAACATAGTGAGATCTCATCTCTACAATAAACTTAAAAATTAGCAGAACATGGTGGCACATGCCTAAAGTCCCAGCTATTCAGGAGACTGAAGCAGGAGGACCACTTGATTCTAGGAGTTTGAGGTTCCAGTGAGCTATGATCAGGCCACTTCACTCCAGCCTAGACAACAGAGTCAGACCTTGTCTCTAAAAAGAAAATCAAAATTAAAATTAAATTAAAAGACTACATGCATAATTCCAACTATATGATATTTAGCAAAAGGCACAACTATAGAGATAGCAAAAGTGTTTTTCAGGAGTTCGGCAAGAGAGAGGGAAAAAGTAGAGCACAGGAGATTATTAGGGCCGTGAAAGTATTCTGTGCAGTATATGATACTGTAATGGTCTATGTACAACATTATGCACTTGTAAAACCCATAGAATATACAATGCAGAGTGAACCCTAATGTAAATTATGAGCTGAAATTAATAATGATGTATCAATATTGACTCGTCAAATGTACCAAACTTATGCAAGAGGTTAATAATAGGGGGGATTGGGTAGAAGGCAGTGAAAGGAAAGTGGTGGAGGGTAGAGAGAGTATGCGAGAATTCTGTTATATTTATGCTCAATTTTTCTATAAACAAATTTGCTTTAAAAAATTAAGTCCACTGGCCAAGCAGGGCAGCTGCTGCAGATTCCTGATGATGTCTTGGCCAAAGGAGCAGTCAGTGACACAATGGAGCAAACAAGGAATGGCGTACACCTGCGAGGGACTGCAGCATAGCACATGTCAGAGGTGGAAAGCCAAGTTAGACACAGAAGGACCGTTTCTTTGAGCAACCAAGAGTGTCCGCTGGCTCAGCGCCCGTAGCACAGTGGTTACGGTACCAGCCACATACACCGAAGTTAGTGCATTCAAACCCAGCCCAGGCAACCCATAATGACAACTGCAAAAAATAGCTGCACATTGTGACAGGCACCTGTAGTCCCACCTACTTGGGAGGCTGAGGCAAGAGAATTGCTTAGGCCCAAGGGTTTGAGGTTGCTGTGAGCTGTGATGCCATGTCACTCTACCTAGGGTGACATAGTGAGATTCTGTCTCAAAAAAAATAAAATAAAATACAGAGTGTCTATTGTACCAGAGGTGTTCTCAGCAGAAAGTAATATGGGGAATTTCCAGGTGGATTGAGACAAGCACTCTTAGCCCAACACCAAGAGGTGATTAAAGCAATGTGGGAACAGTGAGGTAGCTGATCCAAATAAAACCCAGACAATATAATATAGATATTGTCCACTTAAAAAAGTACAGGGAAGTTGCTGGATACAAGATCAATATACAAATATCAGTTATATTTCTAAATGTGAGTAAAATTAGAAATGCAATTCCATTCATATAAAACTTTGTTGCAGTCAATTAAATAAGATTTAAATAGAGATTTCATGGTTATGCATTGTTAAGATAGTAGTTTCCTCTCAAATTGATTGATAGAGTCCATAAAATCTCTATCAAAATTCCAGTAGGCTTTTTAAATTTTTTGCAGACATTTTTTGCAGATCCTAAACTTTATATGGAAATGCAAAGCATCCAAAGTAGCCAAAAGTATTTGGAAAAATAAAAACAAAGTTGGAGGATTTTTCACTTCTCAATTGCAAAACATATTAGGAAAGCTAGAGTAATCAAAACAGGTTGGTGCTGACATATAGATATGTAGGCATATACATTAATGGAACAGAATTGAGAGCCCCAAAATAAAACCTTATATTTTAGTCAGTTGATTTTTCACAAAGATGCCAAGGGAATTCACTGGGGGATTATTGTTCGTTCAACAGATGATGCTAGGACCACTGGATCTCAACATGCAACAAGAGAAAAGTAGACCATTACACCTTAGAATATAAAAAAATTTTTATAATTCCAAGAAAGTCATACTTAAATGTAGGAGCTGAAACAATGGACCTTTAGAAGAATATTAGAGAAAAATCTTTGAGATCGTGGTTTAGGTAAAAACCAGAAGCATGGTTCATAGAAGAAGAAAATTGATAAATTAGATCTCTCAATGTTTAAAACTTTTGCACTTCTAAAGGCACCATTGAGAAAACGAAAAGATAGTGCTTAATTTGGCATCAGATACACTTAAATTGAAATAATACGGAGAAGATTAGTGTGGCCCCTGAGCAAAAATGAATGACATGTAAATTTGTGAAATATTCCATATTTTTGATATTTTAGTATCACATGTTGCATAGGTTATTTTCCAACATATCTAAGAAAGTTCTTCTTTGAAATTTCAAACAAATATGTGCTTGAAAAGATTCAAGCAAGTAAGAAGTGATAAAATAAAAAACAAAAAGCTCTTCTCTTTGATCCTAATAAAATCTTACCGACCTTCTTTTCATAAAGAAAATGAAAAGATGAGTAACTGATAAGGAGAAAACATTTTCAAAACACCTGCCTAATAAAAGACTCATACCCAGAATTTGCAAAGAATGCATATAACTGGATAATAAGACACAATACATCAAAAATGGGCAAACATGTGAACAGACATTTTGCCAAAGAGCATCCATGAATGGCTAATGAAAAAGTGGCAGATGAAAAGATGCTCAACAATATTAGGCCTTAGAGAAATCCATATTAAAACCACAAGAAGATAACATTTCATACCCACCAGAATGGCAATAATAAATAAGACAGTTAATAACAAGTGTTGGTGATGACGTGGAGAAGTATGAACCCTCCTACATTGATCTAAAATGGTGCAGCCATTTTGAAAAATGGTTTGATGGGTTCTTAAAATATTAAACAGTAAACTATCATTGCACCCAGGAGTTCCATCCCAAAGCCCAAGAGAAATAAAAATGTAAACTCACACAAAAACTTGCATAAAAATGTTTATAGCAACATTATTTATAATAACCAAACATGGACACAAACTTAAGTATCCATCAACTAATAAACGACTAAAAACTGTGGTATGTCCATACAATGGAATACTATTTAGCAACAAAAATAGCAAACAACTTAAAAACATTATGGGTGAACCTTAAAAACATTGCACTAAGTAAAAGAAGCCAAACAGAAAGGGACCACATGTTTTATGATTTATTTATATAAAATGTCCTGAAAAGGCAAATTTACAGAGATAGAGAATAGATGAGTGGTTTCCTGGCAGAAACAAAAAATTCACTAAAAATAGGCATGAGGGACCTTGCTGGGGAGGATGAAAATATTCTAAAACTGTTTTATGAGGATAGTTATCTACTTGGTAAAGTTATTAAAAATTATTGAGTTATATACTCTCAATGAATGGGTAAATTTAATAATATGTAAAATAGACCTCAATAAAGTTGGGTTTTTTCCTACAAATGTATGGTGGTGTGATATGTAAACGACTAACTGGTGTTTTCTTTCATCCCTCGTGGTTTCCTATTTATCCTCCCAAATTTAACTACATAGAAGAGAGTATGTATTTCCCTTAATGATTTCCAAGGTGAAGGGAGAGAAAAAGAGATACCGAAGTCTGCACTTCTAAGCTGTCAAGGCACTGTCCAGACAGAAAATACTTTAAAGGAGAAAAAGCAATCTGAATGAGCCATCACTAGATAAGGAATCCTCTGAGCAAAAAAGGGGGGACATTAGAGTGGAAAAAGAGAGGGGAGCACGCTAGAGGACATGCTTCTAGGGTGACCAGCTCTAGAATTTTCTGTGTTTTTAAATTGGGTGTCCCTCTTTTAGAATTTAAAATTTAAAATTTTCCATCCTAGGAATCCCCTCACTCTAAGGCAAATTGGAATAGTTGGTTGCTCTACTCTTAACCTCAGCTCTTCTGAGCCAAGTCCTAGGAGATGGCTGCAAGGGTGTCAATGAGAAACCAAGAATAGGAGAAACTTGTGTCCTGATTTTCACTTGGGGTTTCTGAAAGCCAGAAGCCTACTGTACCTCCAAGGAAATAGGAAAAGGGCAGGTAGGTGGAGGTGGTAATATGGCATGCTTAAGACAGAAAGAGGCATACACAGCCTCCCAACGTACCTGAGGCACCTGCCAACTGCAGAAGGGCATCTGAAATTTCCTTCGGGCCCTGTGGGTACCATGAAATCTAACTGGGATGGGGCATGATTACTTTTGCAGAGGGTTAGTCCATTTCTGCTGCCATAACAAGGTATCTGAGACTTGGTCATATGTAAAGAACAGTGATGTCTTTTTTTTTTTTTACAATTCCAGTGGCTGGGAGTCCAACATTGAGAAGTCATATCTGGTGAGAGCTTTCTTGCTGTGTCACAACATGGCAGAAGGCGTCACGTGGTGAAAGAGTGCAAATGAGGGGGAGAGGGAGAAGGAGACCCATTCCTGGGGGGAGCCCTCATGATCTAAATACCCCACATTAGGCCCGACTTCCCATTATTGTTGTATTGGGGATTAAGCTTCCAACACGTGCTTTGCGGGGGACTCATTTATACTGTAACATGGTTTTATAATTGGGGCAGCAGATGCACATCTAACAAGTCCTATATAAGTCAACCTCCAAGGGTAAGAGTAGAAGGTAGAAATTGGGCTCAGAGTATCAGCACTGTTATAAAACAGAGTAGATTTCAAAATAATGCTACATTCTATTCAGGTTATCATTTGCTAACCTCTAACGCTTAAACTTTGCCAAGAATTTGATGTGGTAAATTAAATAGAAAGTAAGAATCTAGTTTAGGATCAAACAAATGAAGACCTGGATGTGGTCAGGCCCCTCCCACAACACCATAGTGGCAGTTACGTAATACCCTGAATTTTAAAACTCCAATCCAAGAAAAAGAGGGCAAGAAAAGACTGAAAGGGAGAGACATCCTGAATATTGATTACATTTCAAAATCAAATGACTAAGTTCTCTGTCTCAGGCAAAATAAGAAGGTAGAGACAAAAACCAAAGTGAATTCTATAGGAAATGACAGAATGGACACCCAGGAAACTTCTAGAGCAAGAACTCTACCCTCCGCCGAGTTTCTGAAACTTTAACTCCAAAAGAATGTGGCAAGAATAGCTAACCTGAAGTGTGTCTGCAGGTATGCTGGCAGTCACTTAATAGCCATGTATCCTCCGCAAATTGAAAGACATCAGGCCATTATAGCAACGAAACGCAGAGAATGAGTGAGGCATGGAAATAAATCATTGCCTGGCAAGACCTAACAAGGAAACCTGGGAACTCATTATTTACTTATTTTAATAATTTACTGATTGGGCACAAAGGTTTACTGCTCCAAACAGTGATTTTTAACTGGGGGATCTTTCAACTCTCTTGCCCCTGAACTTTGGAATCTGGTTAAATAATGTCTATTTTGATTTTCAGACTAACATTGGCAAAGAATCATTGTTTTTAATTCAAATCCTTGGATCGTAAGAACTAGAGACATGATGTTCTGTTCTGTTTCTGTCATTTAGATATCTCATCCCAGTGGCCCTTTTGTATAAGGAAATAATATAGGCTTGCTTTTAATATATTTTAGTTGACATTAAGCATTTTGTTTCTGGTCTTGTTCAGTTTAAAACATTTATAATGTATCAACTACCTGTGTTTAGCCCTGCCTTATTTGTCAAACACATTATGTCATTTAGCTAATTGGAATAACAGTAAAATATGTAGTATTTTTATACACATGAACAGAAAGATCATGGTAAATAATCAAATATTAACTATCATTTGTAATCTTACACTTTGACTTGGATCAAAAATTTATAATTGTGACATAATGCCATGTACTTCAGATAAGAACTATATTTCTACAAGGGAAATTATTTGAAATTAAAAATATGGAAAACGTTATGACTAGTTCTGTTGCATAATGTCATGTGACATGCTGGTGAAGAAAAAAATAAACCTCACAAAATCATAAGGATAAAAAAATTTTTTTTTTGAGACAGAGCCTCAAGCTTTCCCCCTGGGTAGAGTGCCATGGCATCACAGCTCAAAGCAGCCTCCAACTCCTGGGCTCAAGCGAATCTTCTGCCTCTACCTCCCAAGTAGCTGGGACCACAGATGGCTGCCAAACACCCGGCTATTTTTTTGGTTGCAGCCATCATTTGTTGTTTGGCGGGCCCAGGCTGGATTTGAACCCACCACCTTAGGTGTATGTAGCTGGCGCCTTAGCCACTTGAGCCACAGGCACTGAGCCAATTATAAGGAAATTATCACACTTTTACTTATTATTTAGTGCTTAGTTATAAATACTAAAAAAACTACATTTTTTACAAAAAAAAATCCCTTTGCACTCATTAAAGGGCCATCTATGAGAAAGACAAATACATATATACATATAGATATATATACACCGAGTGGGTGGAGAGAACCCTTACAAAAGAAAAGGATTGAGGAAAAACACTTGGAAAGAAAGAGAGACAAAACAGAAAAGAAGGACAGTGATTTAACTTATCCTTTTGCTATTAATTAAATTGTAAATCTTAGGAGTTCTTCCAAAGAAGTTTTTATATTGGCATATAATAATGTTTTGGGGGGAATGGCCAATTTATAAAAACCTCTGAATATAAAACAATACACTTTGTTCAGTTCATATGAGGTAGTTCTTATAACCAGACTTATTTATAGAAAAATGGAAAGGGGGGAAATCACACCAATACCTGCACTGTTCAATATTGAAATTGGTCTTGAAATTTTTCATTGTATTGAAAAATGGGACAACAGTTTGGCTTAAATGTTATCAAGTCCTTTAAGTATTTGGCATAACTATACTTCAGTATAGCCATATTGGTTATAACTGCATTAACTGCTGTCTGTTAGGACTTCATGCAAACCAAATTATAGAACATGTGAGTGATTTTTTTTTTTAAATAGGGTGTTTTTTTTTCTTGCATGAGAGGAAGGCAGAAACTTCAGTTCAGCAGCTGACCACCTTCAAAGCCCCTCAACAGTCACAGGCAGCCGCAGGGTTTAGGCACAGCCCCAGCAACCAGAGGAAGAAGAGGCGGGCACTCGTGGTGTTCACGTATTTCTTTTTACCATAAGTTCAAGAAAATTCACAGAAATTCTCCAGCTTCAGGGGTAAGAAGGACTGTTGGGTCAGCCAACCATTGCAGCAAATTTTCAAGAGTTGTTTTAATTGTTTATCCTAAGATCCTTATTATGAAATAAATCAAGTTCAAGAGTGCCATAATAAACTGTAAGGAATTTATTTCAAAAGAATTAAATATTCAAGAAACTAAAGCAACCTTCAGGTTATGT